AATTACAGTAGCAGAGCAGGCAATGCATAATCATGCGTGTTTGTGTGTGTGCGCGCGCGCGTGTGTGTGTGTGTGCGCGTGTGTGCGCGTGTGTGTGCGCGTGTGTGCGCGCGTGTGTGCGCGCGCGCGTGTGTGTGTGTGTGTGTGCGTGTGTGTGCGCGTGTGCGCGTCCACAGGTGTCTCCATGTTTCTGGTTAAATCCAGTGCATCCGGGTCTGGCACCTCCTTTTTTTATAAGAGCAGGCATTTACTGTTTTGCAGATCCGTGCATACGGCTGGGGCAGAGGTGTCCCTTCAGATGCAGTCATGTCCCCTGTGGTGCCCTGGCCACGGCCCCACCGCGCTGGTGAAATCCCGTGGTGGCACATCTCGCCCGCATGCTTAAAACGATTCCTTCAAAAACAGAAAAAAGGGGGGAAAAAAAAAAAAAAGAAAACATCTTATTCTTGCAGCACTGCTCACTGGCAGGTTTTGTTTGTAAAGTACTTTGGGGTGCACTGTGCTAGGACATAGGAGAGCGCTATAGTGAGGGAAAGGTGATGCTGGGCTGGGAAGGCAAGAAGCAGCATGTGCATGTGTGTCTGCCAGCGCAGAGAAAGAACGGCAGAAAATAATGGGGACAGAGACACCTAGAGGAAAAGTGCCATTTGGCTGCCTGGCCTTGGACAAACCGTTCCTTGAAGAAGAAATAGGAAAAAAAAAAAACCCCACACACAAAAAGAAAATGACAAACCCAGTCCTAGGACTTTTAATTTAAACCAGTCCGAAGAGCTGAATTTCCTTAAAATCGTATTTAAAAGTCTTTCCTTCTTTCTGTTTGGCTTTGGCTTGGTGGCTGTCTTTGTAGCTGAAAGTGCTGGTAATAGCATTTGCTGTCTGCTGGCTCTGCTCTGAGCGCTTGACCTATTAGTGCAATAAAATGTGAGGTTTTATAAAATCCCAGTGTGCGCAGACTGTTTTAAAAATAATGTTTTCATCTAATGACTTTCGGCTGTTATATTTTAACCTCCTCTGCCTTTTTCCTATCTGCCACTGATCTGCTCCTATAGGTGGGAGTGCCCTCCTTGGTTGCTCTGAGTGGCGTATGGAGTTTGGGAATGGGCTTAGAAGAGCACTGAAAAAAAAAAAGTAAATAAAACTGATGGTGATCCTGGCAGTCTGACTGATTCTCCCAATCTGGACTGGAGATCTCACTGAAATGGCCTTTCTCATGCTACCTTAGCATCTCCCTGTCTGGCTGAAACTCAGAGTAAAGAAGCAGGTCATATGATGCAACAAATTTCATCGGCAGCGTTCAGGCTTGGAGCGAATTTGTCCTGTTTTCTCAGGAGTCGCACGTTCCCTGGTTAACGCTGCTTGTGCTTGGAAAAAACACTGTTCAAGTCTCCACAAGCTCTTCTCATAGCTTTTGGTCATGGCTCATAATTTGGGGGCAGATTCAGAGTCACAAAGGCATGGATTTTTTTTTTCCTTTCTCCCCCCCCCCCAACACTCTCCACCACAGGTATCTCTACAGGGACCCAGGGAGGACCATCACCAGGTACACAGACCAGGTAAGGCAGCTCTGAGAGGCTGCAGCATGTGCATTGGCTGGAAAAGGGCTGTTGCAGCTACAGAACCTGTCAGTGAAGCCTTTGGAGGCTTTTTTGTTTGGTTTGGTTTGGCTTGGTTGGGTTTTTTTGGTGGGGTTTGGTGTGTGTTCAGGGCTTTCCCAGCTAGTGCCAGTGGCTGTGTCTGTGAGCCACGAGCAGGACTGGTGGGCCCATTGCACAGACCTTATCCCCACTGTGCTGTCTGTAGGTGTTCAGGCAAAAATGGGCTCGTTGAGACCGCCTCTGAGACAGCTTTGATGTGGAAGCAAGGACATGGCATGCTATGGTCTTTTTTCTTTTGGCCAGCTGTTTTCTAACCCTCCCCATGATGGTGGTGATTTGGAAACTGCTCCAGTTTTGATGGCTGTTTGATCTCCAGCCATCCCCCCAGTATCCCCATCAGCAAGTCAGCCCTGACCTGGTTCTTCAAACAGTGTCAACCATGTGACCCCCACGCAAATGCAGCCTTCCAGCCTCAGCCACAGTCAGCAAAGGGCAATAGCCTGCAGCGCTTTAGTCTGCCATGTGCTGTCGTCTGGGTAATGAGGGCCCTTTGGGAATACCCGCCTTTGGGCTTTTTCTAAAAAAAAAAAGATCATAATCCATTTATTTAGGTCATATCCTTGGCCTTCTCCTTGCCTAAATAATACTCTCCACAGCAAAAACCTGCCTACACGAAGAGCAAAACGGCCACTCTATACTTCTGAAGCAACTGCCTTCAGCCAGGACAGAGCGTTCCATGCTTGGAAATGCTTTGCCCGTGCCAAACCAAAGCAGCAAAAGCCTGCGCTCAGCCTGGGAGGCTGCGGAGAGGCTCAGTGCCTCCCCCAGCCGCCCCAGCCCCTCCTGGAGGCACGGCCTCGCCTGGCGGGCTCCCAGGCAGGCGCAGAAAGAACAGTGGGCTAGACCAAAATGGAGTTATGAGGACATCGTGTGACTGGTTATCACAACTACAAGCATTTTAATTTCCTGTAAGATTTTGGGTTCTGGGATCCGTGTCTTCAAGTAGCTCCTAGTTGATTTTCACTTGTTTCACTGCATCCCTTTTCCCTGTCAGAGGAAAAGATCTAGGCAAAGCTAGGCCAGCTCTAAAATGTACTAGGATTCGTCTTCTTCCCCCCCCCCCCCCCCACCC